GGTGAAGAGCCAGTGGTTGTCTTGTAGGCAAACATCAGTACCTTGAATTTGATGTGAGCGGCTATTGGCAGCCAGTGCAAACTGATGAAGAGAGGTGTGACATGAGCTTTCTTCGGCTCATTGAAGACCACTCTGGCTGCTGCATTCTGGATAAGTTACAGAGGCTTGATAGTACATGCAAGAAGGCCCACCAAACGTCTGCCTCCGAGAGTGGAGAGAAGGAGGAGAGAGAATGAGTATTTGTGGTTATGAAGTTTTTGTCAGTTTGTGGTGTGGAGAATTGGTCGCTGATGGTTCTTGTTTTATTTATGAAGAATATTGCAAAGTCATCAGCAGTATGAGTTGATGAAGGAGGGGGTGGAGGAGGACAAAGAAGAGAAGAAAAGGTTTTGAAACGCAACTTCAGCATGCCTTTACCATGGTAAACACAGTAAACAAACAATGTGTCCTAGCAACTATAACAGTAAAATAATGAGGCCTACAAGATTTTGGCTATGGCACTAGAAAATGCATCCAACAAAAATATTAAACTGTCTTCCCATACAAAAATTAACTATGGTTTTATTATATTAAAAGTGTGAGTAAAAAAGTTTTTATTTCTTTTTTGGCGTATTGATTACCAGTTGTTTAACCACAGTTTTACTACAAATATTATGGTTAAACTATGGTTAGTGTAGCAGAACCATAGTTAATTTGTGGTTACCATGGTTTAACTATAGTAACAATTTTTTTTTTTTTTTCTAACTTGTTACATTAATAATATATTAAATGGTTAGAAATGGTTCTAGCCAACATGTATTTAATCAATAATTCAACTATGAATAACTCTTGAAATATTGAATAACTGCCAAAGAGAAAGGAAAACTTGAAATCGCATCATATGACCCCTTTAAGATCAGTCAGTGCAAGTTTATTTCAGTTGAGCAGCTCAGACTTACATTTTAATCTAAGCCTTGCCTGTGAAACTGTAGTTATGTCATTTAAGGCCATTAATTATCACTATGAGTCCCTTACCAGTGAGCGGACTACTGAGATTTAGCTTTTATTAATTTATCTTTGTTGATTATTCTCATCTTAAACATGACAGATTGCCCAAACACAGAGAAAAACTCCTGCTGAGATCCACACACTATTATAAAGATGGCGTTTATTAAAGAGGAGAGTGAAGACGTTAAGATTGAAGAAACATTGAGAGTCAAACAAGAAGATACTGAGGAACACACAGGTTGGTTTTCATTCTCATTTGATGCTTATTGAAATGCCAAGCTTTACAGAAAAATGCATTATTTTTGAAGCATGTCCAGGTGTAAAATAATTGAGAAATGTAACTTAATTACTGTACTTATTACTTTTGGTGGATTTGTATTTTACTGAAGTACAATTTCAAACTTTTAGTACTTTTACTT